CACCCCATTTAGCAGGTCGTCACTGTTGGTTAGAATCAGATATAAAATAGCTGATCCCCTTGTTGTCTCTTCTGGACATAACCTTCTGGACAATTAAATGTCAGTCAGGTTATGGTTTGTATACTATACTCATTGTGTGGTTATATATTCCTCTATTGGCTATGTGCATCATAACATAGAAACGATATCTTTATGTAATGTGGATCTGCATGGAAGATACAATTATTATTAATGTCATGAAGGCCCTGCAAATAGCCTAGGGTAAGCTTTGCTAATCTGCCTTATCATATAACAAATATATGTTGGAATTTTTTTTGTTAATTTACTGGTTTGCATTTTAGTACAACTAACCAAATAATTCAATGCAATTTAAGACAGAAATTTAATTAACATCGATAATTATGTAATGCTTTCCGATTACCACTATCCTGGATTAGATTCAAGAAATATACAACAGAAATACACTATTTAAGCAAGCTGTTTTCCCCCCAGTTCCAGCAAAAGGTATCGTAAGGGTATCATCTCTGGTATGCCACATTGAGTTCCATAATCAGAATACAAATATAATAAACAAATAAAATGCCTTTACTTTAAAATGTGCTCTAGATAGTGTCTGGAAGATTTTTAATTCCTCGATCTAAATTCTGCGTCTATATTAAGTATAGGGTTTTTAACGAGGTGTCTTCTTATATTTAGGGTTTCCTTCTCTTCCTGTCCCCAGTCTTAAGTGAAGGGGGAAAAGAAGTATTTAGAGAAACACAGGAAGTTGGATGTTTTTCCTTGCCAAGACAAACATATGCAGACCGGTTAAGTCTACACATTTCAATACATGTGAAAATATTTGGTTTTGTAATCTGACTTCCTTGGGTGGAAATAATCATGTGATTTAATAATGAGATTGTGCAGAAAGATGAAATCACAAATATTTTAGTAATTGAACATAGACAATTGGTTTTTGGATATCATTTTCTCTCAGACACGTTCAAACCCAGAAGTCTTACAGTGGTGAATTGCGAATATGAACATAAAGCTGTATTGAAAAACTTCTTTATACTGGACCATCTAGGTCAATACTGTCATCTTGTATTGTCAGTGCCTTGCCTAATCTTAAAAGTATGCAAGACATCCCTTATTTGGAATTCTGAAATTCGAAATACTCCATAATCATCCACATGGGTGGCTAAAATAGTGACACCTTTCCTTTCTGATGGTTCAGTGTATACAAACTTTGTCTCCTGCACAAAATTTATATATATATGGATTTATGAATTGGTGAACGTTGACCACAAGATGATTTTATTACTGCTATTGTGTTAATTTGATTGTTTTAACTAGTTATAATTGTTGTTGTTATAGTGTATTTTGTATATTGTATTTTGTGAACTGTTAGGCATCGAATTGTGCCTTTTGTAAACCGCCCTGAGTCCCCCCTAGGGGGTTGAGAAGGGCGGGGTAGAAGCGCTCGAAATATATATATATATATATATATATATATAGGTTCAGGAGTTTTATAGGAGGTGTGTATGAAACAAAAATACATTTTGTGTTTAGATATGCATCCCATCCTTGAGATATCTCATTATGTAAGTACAGGCAGTCCCTGAGTTACAAACATCCAACTTACAAATGACTCAGAAGAACAGGGCTTAGACGACAGGAGGCAAGATAAATATACCCCTAGGAAGGGAAATTCACTCCTGAAAGAGTTATCATGGGGAAAAGGCGTCTTCACTGAAGAGTTCTCACCAATCCTTGTTTCTACAAGAAGCCAATTTTTACAACATCCAGTTATCACAGGGACAGAAAGTGAGATGAAATCTTCTGAACAGGAGCACAGACAGCAAAACAAACACCACGGGGGTGTTAACCCTTCACTATGCTATCCAAGACTAAACAAAATATGTATATTTGGCTGGAATTGCACTTAAAATGTACCTTTCCAAACAGATTCAACTTAAGAACAAACCTACAGAACCTATCCTACAGAACCTACCTTAGCACAAGTATATAGAGGGGGAAACATATACAAGGACTTGTATACTTCTGTTCAGAAAAAAGTACAAACTTTTCTCATTACAGTAGAGGTTGATATATTGTTACAGAAATGAAGTAAGTTGTATATGTTAACTATAACAGAATGAAATATTTATTGGGTAGATTGTGTTTGTGTTTTCAGGTGATTGTGTTTTCCAAAAAGAAGTGGGGAAACATCTGTTTTGCCCTTGTCTTTAAAAGCTACTCAAATAAGAAAGGAGTGCTAAGAACAGCAAATAATCTGTTGCGCTCTGCAAGCAGTGTTTATAACAATTGGGATGAGAAATTGCTTCGGATAATATTGTTAAGGCTTGATTTCTTTATAAAAGAAGCAGCCAACCATAACAAATTATTTTCAACTTCCATTGTTTTGCTATAACCCGATGTGAAAGAGAAACACAGTGTTCTTTGTGTTTTAACCATTTACATTTAACCTTCTAGAATTACCAAGGTTGATATTACCAAACCATGTTCTACCAATTCTCTGACCCAGTTTTGAATTAAACACATTTTAATAGACTCGAATGGTGGGTTATAATTAAGCTTTTGATCCTCTGTGTTTGTGAGTACATAGCCCTCAACTTTATTTTGTTTTGTTTTGTTTTATTTGCATTTTTTCTAGCCTTTCTCCCCATAGGGACGCAAGGTGATTTGCGACAATATGATACAATAAAATTTAAAAAGAAAGCTAATACATTTTTTTTTTAAAAAACCTAATAATTTGTGTAATGGATACAAATGTTAAAATAATAATAATATCAATAATAATAATAATAATAAATTTTTATTTATATCCTGCTTTTCTCCCTAAACGGGACCCAAAGCAGCTTACAACATTGTATTAAAGACAATACAAAACAATATGCATATGTAAAACAATAACTTATACAAACAAATTTACAATAAGAAATAAATAAACATATTTAAAAATGTTTGTCTAATACAATTATTGCAGACAACTCCACAAGACAGATGGCAAACATTAAAAGTTAGCCTTCTTGTCATTACAACTAAGTGTCTTCATCAAAAGCTTTCTTGAACAGGAAGGTCTTTAGCTGCTTTTTAAAAGATGTCAGGGAAGAGGCTGTTTTAATCTCCTTGGTGAGGGAGTTCCAAAGATTGGAGCGGCCACTGAGAAGGCCTTCTTTTTCATCACTGCCAACCACATTTGTGATGGTGGCTGCAATGAGAGGAGGGCCTCACTAGAATTAATTGTAAAATGCTATTAAAATTACATTTAAAAGATAAATATCCCTCCCAAGTTTCCACAGCAGCCTGCCCCTCATCATCCTGCAAATGTGTGATGGCAGAGAGATGAATGTTTAACAATGTGAAAAGGGTAAAAAAGAGGTTTCTGGCATCTTTAAGATTGTAATGAACTGGGCTTTAACAAACAAGTAAGTAGGTTTTGACCTTTCATCTCAAGAACAGACAAGCATCCCGAGCTCTGAGGATTACCTGGGAAGGAATCCCACTGGAGCATTGCAGCGCACCCAAATACCTGGGAGTCACTCTGGACCGTGCTCTGACCTACAAGAAGCACTGCCTGAACATCAAGCAAAAAGTGGGCGTTAGAAACAATATCATACGAAAGCTGACTGGCACAACCTGGGGATCACAACCAGACACAGTGAAGACATCTGCCCTTGCGCTATGCTACTCTGCTGCTGAGTATGCATGCCCAGTGTGGAACACATCTCACCACACTAAAACAGTGGATGTGGCTCTTAATGAGACATGCCGCATTATCACGGGGTGTCTGCGCCCTACACCACTGGAGAAATTACACTGCTTAGCCAGTATTGCACCACCTGACATCCGCCGGGAAGTAGCAGCCAATAGTGAAAGGACCAAGGCAGAGACATCTCCAGCTCATCCCTTGTTTGGGTATCAGCCAGCACGTCAACGACTTAAATCAGAAATAGTTTTCTAAGATCTACAGAGACACTCGCTGGAACACCTCAGCAAGCGAGAGTTCAAAAGTGGCAGGCTCAAACCCAGCACATCAATCCGTGGGTGATACCAGATGAGAGACTCCCTCCTGGGCACACAGAAGACTGGGCGACTTGGAAGGCGCTGAACAGACTGCGCTCTGGCACCACGAGATGCAGAGCCAATCTTAAGAAATGGGGCTACAAAGTTGAATCCACGACATGCGAGTGTGGAGAAGAGCAAACCACAGACCACCTGCTGCAATGCAACCTGAGCTGCTACATGCACAATGGAGGACCTTCTTGTGGCAACACCAGAGGCACTCCAAGTGGCCAGATACTGGTCAAAGGACATTTAATCAACTACCAAGTTTGCAAAATTTGTGTTTTTTCTCTGTTGGTTTGTTCTGTTCTGTTAGAAATGTAATACAATGGTCTGGTTGCTTATGACACGATAAATATAAATAAGGTAGCTATGATAATCTGGTCACTCCAATCTATACAATCTAAAATTCATAAAACTTGCCTGAGTGCAAATAATTATTTCCCACTTTCTCATGCTCTGATAGGCAGCACCAGTATAATACTGCTGTTAAGCTTTCCAAGACACGTTACTCCATTTAAATTGTTGAGTTGCTTGCTAATCAGATCTGCAGTATTTCAGCATTTATGCGTCATAATAATTCGCAACATTCACATATATGCAATGTTTCCACATAATGCTTTGAGTCTCACAAAATTCAGTCTTCAAGTCTCATCATTGAAAGTTTTCTACCAATTATTCAAACTTTTGATCTTTTAACTCACTCATTTTTACCATGGTCATAATCTAACACTTAACACTAGTTGGGGCCCGTGTTTTTGAGGTAAGAGATTTCTTGACTTGGTGTAGTATTACTATTTCTTCAAATGAGCAACAAATGACCAACTGTTGAAATCCATTTTGTGGTACTTCAGGCCATTTAGAAACAGAAGTATTTTTATGTAAAATTTAAGTAGAGGAGAAAGTTTATGTATTTTTTCTCCCCTGTTCAGCAGATGTCCCAAAGCTCATCACAAAATGGTTTACAGAAGAAAAAAAGGCGTGCTCCTCCTCCACCAATTCCTCCAGTGCCAAACAGGATGGAAGACCAGAGGAAAAGCACAGTTGGTAAGAATTGTTTACTTTGCACCCAGTGCATCTGCCCGATCTGCAAATGTTATAGTGCTTTGCTAATAATACTAAAATGTTTCCCTGTGGACAAGAAACTGCCAATATGACAGATTGAAAGTCTGGAAATTGCAAAGTGTTTAATATTTTATGTAATAAATGAAAAACATTTTCAGAGTATCCAGTATGTCTATATTGTCATAATATGTTTAAAAGTAGATACAATTTCAGTAAGCTCAATTTTTCTTCTCTAAGAGGAATCAATGAATGCTTTTCAAATTCCACTGTGTGAGATATTTACAGAACCATTCTCTTTATATTTACATGGAAATAAGTTCTCTAACTTTACTGTTATGCCCACATAAATAGGTACAGATATCACCTTATGGATATTACTAACTGTCCAGTTAAATACGTTTAATTGCCTGGATTGTGACTTTATCAGACGTTATCACAAATTTGAGGGAGAAAAATATTTAAAGTTAGGTACTTTTAGTTTTATTCATTTTAAAAGGGAGACATTTTACATTAACACCAAACATGACTGCTGAATCACTTACTTTTTCATATGTACTTAGACAATGCTTCACATACATAGCTTATTGAATCTCTTACTGATAGAGTGGTATGTATAAATAGACAAAATATCAAATTTATTTCCATATTTTAATGAAAAATTATTTATTTCCATATCTAAGTTTAAAATGCCTCATTTTATGCCGTATATTAAAATGGCATAGGTGTCCTTTAGATCATGTTTCTTAAACTGTGGGTCCCAGTAGCTCAATATTGGGGTCACAAAACAGTCTCCTGAATTAAAACTGACTGTTTTAAATATTTACATGAATTTGTTGTGCAGTGTTTGCAACTGGGCTCTGCAGAAGATGCTCTAGCTGCACTTCATAAAAAGAAAAAAGCAGCCTGTTTAGCAAGCTTGCAAATTCTGGTTTGTTATCAGTAAATGTTTGATTTCTATACCTATTCTTTAAAGTTATATATCTAGGGTCATATAAACATTTCTCTGGCCAAAAGTGGTCCCGAATGGAAAAGTTTAAGAAGCCCTGCTTTATATCAAGAATGTTGTTGTTGTGATGGGCAGATTTTACGACAAAACAGTCAAAACAATATTATTGTTGTAAAGGACAAATTTCAGGATATTGGTGAACGGTTCAGTTGCTATTAGTGTTCTAACCTTAGTGCTCCCCCCACCCACCCCCACAATGCCTACAGTGCAATTACTGGTAGAGGAGCCCCTGTAGCGCAGTGGGTTAAACCCCTGTGCCAGCAGGACTGAAGGTCGCAGGTTCGAATCCGGGGAGAGCGCGGATGTGCTCCCTCTGTCAGCTCCAGCTCCTCATGCGGGGACATGAGAGAAGCCTCCCACAAGGATGATAAAAATATCAAAACATCTGTGCGTCCCCTGGACAATGTCCTTGCAGACGACCAGTTCTCTCACATCAGAAGCGACTTGCAGTTTCTCAAGTCGCTCCTGACACGACAAAACAAAAAACCCAAAACAAAACAAAAAAAACCTGGTGACTTTGAGGGTTAAGTATCTCCTGCTAATTGTATGTGAAGGTCTGGAACAGGTTTGAGCAAAGAGATCCAGTCGTGTGCTCCAGTGGATAAAGCATCTCATTGATTCCAGTGACATCTAAATTTCACTCCTCTTTCAGCTGTAAAATCATCTGAAAATGTTGAGCCAGTCATGATCAGTGCCTTCATTTATTCTACTTTAGGGATAGTTGGCAGGATGAAGTATGTAGGGAGGGTGGAATAATCCATGTATGTCATTCTGAGCTTGTACTGCACACAACTGCCAGACAAAGGAAAAAGATTAACATTTGAGTCAAGGAAATCATATTGGTCCATTTTAAAAGACTCAGTTAACTCAAAATGAAAAAAGATGATTTCAACTAAGCAATTATCAATGACAGATGGATCCATTATGAGATTCTAAGTGCATGCTTTGAAAATTTTTTAAAAAGATACTTGCACATTTCTTATACAAACAGTCCCCGAGATACAAACATTCAGCTTTCAAACAACTCATAGTTAAGAATGGGGGTGAGACAACAGGAAGTGAGAGAAATCTACCCCTAGGAAGGGAAAATCACTCCTGGAAGAGTTGTCATGTGGAAAACGGGTCTCCACTGAAACTTTATCACCAATCCTTGTTTTCACAACAAGCAATTTTTCAAAATCCAATTCTCACAGCGACGGAAAGTGAGGTGAAATCATCTTAACAGGGACACAGACAGCAAAACAAACACCACAGGGGTGTTAACCTTTCCCTATGATAGCCAAAGCTAAACACACACACGCACACATATATTTGACTGGAGTTACAATTTAAAAAGTACCTGTTTCAACTTGACATACAAATTCAACTTAAGAACAAACTACAGAAACAATCTTGTTTGTATCTTGGGGACTGCCTGTACTTGTTAATTGCCTCTTTTCCACACACCAATAATTGAGTGATTATTTAAGCAAGGTGATTATTGCATCATTATTGAAGAGTTAAACTAAAGCATTTGACTTGATGATAAAAAGTAATTAGTGAATTCCAATTGATTCCCCCTATAGGTCATGGACAGCCTGTGCCACAAAAGCCTCCTAGAGGCAACACACGTGATCCGCCCCAATTAGTGATCCCCCCACCCCCACCATACCCTCCTTTTGACAGAGATACTATGGAATCAACTGTACTGTACAATGAAGCAGATGTTTCAGATCCAATCAAGCTGGTACCTAAACGTATGTTTAATAATTATATACTTTTTCTTTACTTCTATGACAGCAAAAGAGAACCTTTTCCCAGACTTTCCTCTGTTTTCTTTTCAGCTATACATGTGCTTTCCTTTCTAATCTACTCCCGTTTAAAAATGCTTGATCCATGATACATTGTTTGATGCATTATATGCTTGATGAATAAATACAAGAATGAAAATAATCATTATTTTGCAAAACCAATGAGATGTAATGTAATGTTTCTTGCATTTGTGTGCTAAAATGATGGGAGTTGATTATTATTATTATTATTATTATTACTGGAATTTGCACCCTATTTCCCATAAAGATTCTGATTGGAATTATTACTTAAGCCTACAATTAACTTTATATCAAAGTGTCCTTCCTTGCCAATACCTCACTATTCAAAAGTGTTTAAGGAAACAAACATAGAATAATTGAAGCAGTTTGGAAGTAGCTGGGAGATAAACTAAGCAAAAAGAACTCTTGAAATCCTTTTTTCAGTGGGCTATTTAAAATGCAAACAGTTCACAATGAAAAACAAGGCTTGCATTTTAATAAATATTAAATGTCAAGATATTATATATACATACACACACACACACATATATGAGAAGGTTTTTAAAATAAAGAGATGATGCAAATGAAGGAGGTGATAAAACCAATGCTTGACTAGTTTAATAATTAATGTATAAGTAGTGGAGGTATTTTTGAAAGGGTGCTTGAGATTGTGTTTTAATATTAAAAATTTCCTGCTGTCAGGACTCATCAATACAGACTGAACATCCCTTATCCAAAATACCTGGGACCAAAAGGGATTTAGATTTTTGTTTTTTTTTCAAATTTTGGAATACCTGTATTTGCATATATGTAAATAACGAGATGCCTCAACGTGCAATACATTATATATTTTGGAATTCCAGATAAGGAATGCACTGAGCTTCTCCTAGCGTAATTTGGTACTTTGCATTTCATTTAGGGTGAATATAAGTATTATATGACCTAGCAAATATTGTTTTTGGCAGTGTTCTGAATCAATGCTACACCATACACTTTTTTAGATATTCTCCCCCTCCCCCCACACCACCACACACAAAGTTAGTTTTTGCTTTAAATAATCCTGCTCTGGATTTGTTTCATAAGACCTAAAGTACCATTGCGCATATAACCTCCCTTATTTTGTTTAGCATTGTTGTTGTTCATTCGTTCAGTCGTCTCCGACTTTTCGTGACCTCATGGACCAGCCCATGCCAGAGCTCCCTGTCGGCCGTCACCACCCCCAGCTCCTTCAAGGTCAGTCCAGTCACTTCAAGGATGCCATCCATCCATCTTGCCCTTGGTCGGCCCCTCTTATTTAGCATTATTTAGCATTAATTAGGTTTTTTTTTAAAAAAACTTTCAGTCTTGAAAACCACTGACAAGATTTAACTATGGTAAATGATTTGTTAATCTCAACTGTTCCAGGTCAGGGAAGCTCATGTTTATATAATACTAATAATTTGGAAAATTGTTTATTAGAGAATGATATCCCTGTACAGTAATGAGAAAAATACTTTGAAGGAAGCAGTGTTGAGAGGAAACAAGCATATCATAACAAATAATTAAGATTTCCTAGCCAATAACTCTTTCTCTGTTCCTGATGGCAGCATTTGATGGCTGTTTTTGCTAAAAGTGATTGTACACCACCCTGAAATCTATACATAGTTGGTAGGATATACTGTAGTTATTTTAATTTTAAAAATAAATGGCAGAAATCACAAAGGCAGACTGAAAACATTCTTTTTACAATAATCCACTCTTTATATTATAGAGGATGGGTAGGATATATGTTGCTAGGTCTGGAGTTCTAGAGTAGATTGGCCAAAGTTGCAGGCCATGTTATAATGAGAGGAAATTAAGGGTAAACAGTAGACAATTCCTGAAGAAATGTATAGAAATTGGTTTCCTTGCATTTATATATTTATAGTCTAAATCTTATAAGATTGGCCAGAACTCATAAGAAATATCTGTTAATATCCTGGAAAGCTGCTTTAAACAGTTTGTCTTGTTAAAACTTGGAGCACTAAGCATACAGATATACATACTTTGTATGCAGTACTAACAATATTAATCTTTTGTGAATGTTTTTTCTATAATATATTAATGTGACCTTCCTTGTCTAGTAATTAGGGCATGGTTTGAAGTTCTGTCTAGTGGATGCTTTAGAATAGTAGTAATTTGTTTCATGCATGGTTTGGAGGAGTTTGGTCATTGAATGGCTTCGTCAGTACGTATTTGCTGAAAGTAATTTCCCTTGAGTTCAGTGGGATAACTAGCAAATGTGCACTTAGGATGTAGTCTAGCAGTGCAATCTGAAACATGCCTACTCTTAGGAAGTCTGCCTTGGCCACGGTAGTCCATAATCTGGTTACATCCCGTATAGACTACTGCAACACTCTCTACGTGGGGTTGCCTTTGATGACTGCCCAGAATCTTCAAATGGTCCAAAGAACAACAGCCAGATTGCTAACAGGAGCGGCGCTCAGGGAGTGTTCTGTTCCGCCAGTTCCACTGGCTGCCAATTTGCTACTGGGCAGCCCAAACGGTTCTGACCCAACTTACATGTCCGAACGCATCTCCCCTTATGAACCATCTAGAACCTTAAGATCATCTGGGGAGGCCCTGCTCTCGTTACCGCCTTTGTCACAAGTATTTTTGGCGGAGACAAGAGACAGCCTTCTCGGTGGTGGCCCCTCGGCTGTGGAACGCCCTCCCTATAGATATGAGATTGGCCACTTCCCTTTTAACATTCTGGAAAAAAGTCAAGAAGTAGCTTTTTGAACAAGCGTTTCCAAATGCAGAGTAACGTGACACAGGAAAATGAAAGAACGACAATGAGACCAGACAATGTTTTTAACAAGGCGACACTATGAATTTATATTTTATTGATATGTTTACTTTTTATTATATATTATGTTTTTAATTGTATTTATGATATTGTAAGCATTGAATTTTACCCTGTTAACCTTGAGTTGCCTACGGGTTGAGAAAAGTGGTATACAAATACAATAAATAAATAAATAAATAAATAAATAAATAAATAAATAAATAAATAAATAAAACTCTGGAGTAAATCCTGTTGACTTCAGTGAGGTTTCTTCCCAGTTTAGTGATGTAAGGTTGGAGATGAAAGCTGCACTGAATGCTTTTAGTAGTGTGTCTCATTGCATTTGGCAATATGTCATCCCACCTTGATCTTAAATGTTTTGAAACATGATCCTCTTTGGATAACATGTGCCCATACTGGTTTTATTCAGGATAAAAAGTGAGATTTAGTTGAGGATTGCCTACTTCGAAACCTCTCTATTTTCATCCAATGGCTCCAGACACATAGTGAAATGGAATCTGTTTCTAAAGCTTCGTTTCACAGGGAACTTTCCACTTTTACATGTTTTACATGTGGAAAGCATACAGAAAACTGCCATTCTGTATGAATCAAGGGCCGCTTTAAAGCTTCTAGTTTTACTTTCTTTTTACTAGAGCCCTGAGAACACCCAGAAATCTACCAGTAATTCAAGATTTACCAGTTGCCCATCTCTGCTGCAGCATATACTCCTTGCTTTGCCATGGCTTCATGTTTCACTGAAATGCAATATGATTGGGTTCTGCAGTATAGGAGAATGATAGCAGATGGAAACTTTTCAACTAACTTTAGCTAACTGAAGAACATAAGGAACTCTATATACTTATTCCTCTATTTGCACACATGGTGAATTGCAGAGGAATTTTCCCCAAAAGGGGGTGGTTTGTATTAACTGGTTTGGGGTTTACAGTTAAAATTATTATTTTCTAGCTCTTTAGTCTTTGGGTGTTTTTGTTTGTTTAATTTTTGCAGAGAACTCCGATGAAGAGCTCTTCATTTGGCTAGGCCACCATTTATTTCTGTTCAGAATGCCCGCAGGGAACAATTCTGGAACATCCCACACAAACGTAGATGAAAGAGGAGATTATAGCAATGCTTTTATTTTATTTTTTTTAAAAAAGATAATTATCATTTTTGCTATTGCTGACAGTGCATTTCTCTCTAACCTGAAAATTGTCTTTCCCCTGCAACATTTAGTTGAAATGCCCCCTTATTTCATCAGCCTGAATTGAATATCTTTTCACTAATTCATGCCATACAGTCCCGTAGCCAGGATTTTGATTCGGGGGGGGGGGGGGGCTTCGGGGGGGGGGTCAGGATCTACCCTAGCAAACCTTTTGTATCATTATCCCAATACCCCCATGCATATGGGATATATTGAGCATGGTGATCGGATCATGATATGAATAAACATAACAGTTTAAATAATGTACCAGTAAGGCCTTCTCGGACCACCCTGAGAATTTGGGGGGGGGGGGGGAAGCCCCTCAAGCCCCCCCCCCCCCCCCGGCATGGCCTAATGCCACACGTTTTCTGTTGCAACTTTTCAACTTGTTCCTTCCTCAGATTTCTTTGAAACCATGCTTTATAGGAGAGGTTTAGATAATAGTGTGGCTGCTGTCAATACTGAAGTTAAATATCCCTGTTCCAGAACAGCTGGACATGATTCTGCTTGCAAAAATTATCCTTGCTAACAGCATGTTAATTTGCAGTGCAATTCTGTGAATGCCAACTGAGAACTATTGCGAGTGGATTCGCTGAGTATAGGTTTGTGGCCTAAAATAGTTTTCTTCAGTAGTTAATGTATGATTTCCTTTTTTTTCCTCCAACAGTTTATTGTTGTGCACAGTTCAAGCCCACCTGATACAGCTTACCTCTTCCTGTGGTCTTCGTACCTCTGAAACCTGTTGCCTCTGCTATCCTAACTTTCTTTGTTGCCTTTTCCTGTTGCATACATAAAGAGGAAAAGGCTTTTGTTTGAATTGCATCTTTGTATCTCTTTCTCCTTCTGGAACATTCGCCTCTTCATTTCACAAACAGGGAATGTTTTCATTTATACTTCTTATATATTTGTGGCATATGTTCAGTCCACAAACGCAAAGAA